TTCCAGCTCCATGCACCTGGCAGAACCCCCAGCCCACCCCCTCCTCTCTCCAATCCCTCCAATTCCCACCTCCCTCTCCCCTCCACCTCCTGACGGAGCTTTTTAATTTATTCCCCACCCACTGCCTGTTGTGCTGCTGTTCCCTGTAACTCACACCAYGGCCTGTCTTGTATCATTTAGCTCCGGGAAGCTCGACGTGCCCATAAAACCACTCCAAACCAAGCTGGATTGTGYTACACCGAGTCCTGGAGGCCTGCTAATGTTTACATCACTGCTTGGGAATCACCTGAACGTGGCATTTCCTGCACTCGACAGTTACAACTGTCCTTTGCAGCTCGGGACCATGTTAAAATGCATTTACTGGAGCACTTACTCCACCCGGGCTCGTTGTCTCATTGCTGCTCCAAAACAAAAAAAAAAAAGAATAATTTACCGTTTGCCATTTCCTGACCCAAGCAGAACCGGCGGGGCTGAGTGGCCTCCCCAAACAAAGCCGAGCTGATGCTGTATTTTAAAAATGTCCTGACCTGGAAAATCCCCAATATGGAGCTCCACTCGACCTAGATTTTAGTGGCCACTAATTGAACAGTTTTGAAGTAACTGTGCCATAAAGCAGCCCCAGGGTTAGAACAGATGCATTCAATTAATTACAGCTGGAGAGATTCAGTCAAAATCGCAGAAAGAAGATAAGTCTTAAAGGTCCCGGTGCACCCAGAGCTGGGGACCCTSTGAGCAGCATCCCTGGGCTTCTCATGGGGTGAGGATGGGGCATTTCCAGCCCATGCTCTGCTTTAATCCCAGCTGGGAGCTGCCCAGGCTGCATGGCTGCCTGGTGACAGTCCAGATTTCTGATCCCAGACAGACGGGATTAGCGAGAAATGTTCCCCAATTTGAAGAAAATCACTTTACTAGACTGGCTTTTCACTTGCAGCCCTGTGGAGGATGAAAAGGGTGGCTGAAGGAAACCAAGGCCATTAGCAGGAACTGGACATGTGCTGATTAGGAATGTGCACCTCTGCTGGATTTTTTTAGGCTGTTTGCTTAACAGCCTGAAAGTCACTGAGATCTGAGCGGGGCATGGGAGGCAGAATGATCCTGAACAGGTCACCACTCCCCTCTGCAGGAGAAAAATCCCGAACCAGCCCCTCTGATAACGCTGGGAAGGATTTCTGCAGGCCTGCAGCACTGGGTTATCCATAAAAAGGGGTTTGGTGCAGAGATGAGGGGGTGGCGACAGGAGCTCGGTCACCCTCACACCCTGACCTTGATCACAGAAGGGATGGAGATGCAACAGGGATTTCCCTTTTTGCTGCTTCTCACTTGGAATCAAGGCAGGGACCCCTGAGGCTGGAACCAAGGGATCATTGAGGCTGGAATCCAAGATAACCCTGAGGCTGGAAACCAAGGGATCCCTGAATTTGGAATCCAAAGGAATCCCTAAAGTTGGAATCCAAGGGATCCCTGAATTTGGAATCCAAAGGAATCCCTGAATTTGGAATCCAAGAGATCCTTGAGGCTGGAACCAAGGGATCCCTGAGGTTAGAATCCAAAGGATGTCAGAGGCTGGAATCCAAGATAACCCTGAAGTTGGAATCCAAGAGATCCTGAAGTTGGAATCCAAGAGATCCTTGAGGCTGGAATCAAGGGATCCCTGAGGTTAGAATCCAAGGGATGTCAGAGGCTGGAATCCAAGAGATCCCTGAATTTGGAATCCAAAGGAATCTCTAAAGTTGGAGCCCAAGAGATCCTTGAGGCTGGAACCAAGGGATCCCTGAGGTTAGAATCCAAGGGATGTCCAAGGCTGGAATCCAAGATAACCCTGAAGTTGGAATCCAAGAGATCCTTCAGGCTGGAACCAAGGGATCACCAAGATTGGAATCCAAGAGATCCTGAAGTTGGAATTTAAGGGATCCTTGAGGCTGGAACCAAGGGATCACCAAGACTGGAATCCAAGAGATCCTGAAGTTGGAATTTAAGGGATCCTTGAGGCTGGAACCAAGGGATCCCTGAAGTTGGAACCCAAGAGATCCTTGAGGCTGGAACCAAGGGATCACCAAGGTTGGAATCCAAGAGATCCTGAAGTTGGAATTTAAGGGATCCCTGAGGTTGGAACCCAAGGGATCCCAGGGATCCAGGAGCCCCATCCCATGACCAGAACCCTTCCCCTCCCCAGCRTTGAGCAAACCCCGCTGCACCACCGAGGGATGAATGTTCTCAGTGTCACATCTTGCTGCCTGAACCATCCCACATTTCTGACACGCAGCAACATTCTGCCTGCAGAAGGAGCCTGGAGAGAGCTGGACATGGGGCTGACTGGGATTTGGGGCTGGCTGGGAGCTGGGGCTGGCTGGGATCTGACTAAGAGCTAACTGGGAGCTGGCCGGGATTTGGGGCTGACTGGGATTTGGGGCTGGCTGGGATTTGGGGCTGGCTGGGATCTCACTGGGATCTGACTGGGAGCTGGGGCTGACTGGGATTTGGGGCTGGCTGAGATTTGGGGCTGACTGGGATCTGACTGGGAGCTGACTGGGATTTGGGGCTGGCTGGGATTTGGGGCTGACTGGGATCTCACTGGGATCTGACTGGGAGCTGGGGCTGACTGGGATTTGGGGCTGACTGGGATCTGGGGCTGGCTGGGAGCTGGGGCTGACTGGGATCTGACTGGGATCTGACTGGGAGCTAACTGGGAGCTGGCCAGGATTTTCCCTGCGGATCTGGAGGGACGCCACGCACCCGGCACAGCAACCCCCTTGGCATCTGTTCGGCTGCAGACAGAGCACCCAATCAATGGCACAACCCCTTCCCCCTYCCCAAACCTCAGCCATCTCCATCCTCTTTGTGTTTTCCTCCCTCCTGCCCTCAGTTCTGGGTCCCAGCTGATGAGCCCAGCGGGGAAGCGGCACACGAGCGTTGTCATCCCGGCAGGATCCCTCCTCGTCTCTGCCTCAGCTGATGGCACATTCAGAACCTAATTGTTATCTCAGCAGAGCAACTCCATTATTCAGCCTGACACTGCCTCCCCCCCCTTCAGCTGTTTGTTGCACTGATGTTATATTAATGAGCCCTGCAAATAAATGAACGGGGAGATCAGAGCGCCGCTTGTTCGCCCGAAAACTGATTTTTATTTATTTATTGCTGAGGCCACAGGCCGGGTGGAAGTTTTAATCTGCTGAGGGGACACTGCTGGGGAGGGCTGGGCCTCTCACTCAGTGAAAGTGGCTGCAGATACCCCGCTGCTCGTTTACTTTTGTAACTATTAAAACACAACCTCTGCTTATTTATGCATCCCCCGAAGGCACTGGCGCCTGGGAGCCAGGCCCTTGACCTCAGGCTTGCCACAAAGASTGAACCTGGCCAGATGAAGCAAAAAGAGTGGAAATCAGCCCATATTAAAGGCTCTTTAGTCTGGCTAATCCAGGCTGCAGTGTGAGCTCCAGTCTGAGACCAAAGCCTGCTCCGCAGCCCAGCCTGTCACCGCTGGTGCCAAAGGGATGGAGGGTTTGTCACCAGAGCCAGCTCTGGACCTGCCAGGGGCAGCTCAGTCCCACCAGGACACGGTGTCCTCCCAGATCTACAGCCCTGCAGCACTGGGCATTGTGAAATAATCCCCAAAATCCTGAGAGAACTCAGGTGTTGGGAAAAAACCCAACAGCGACCAAAGCTGCGAAGATCTCGCRGTCCCCTCCACTCTGAGGGCTGAGACACAGACCTGGCTATGGAGTCAAGAAATCTCTAACAGCAGAGCCCTGCTCTTTTCTCCTTGGACACGGCCCAAAAGTATTGCTTTCAAGTTGGACAGTGATAAAACACTCGGTGGCAGTGCCCTGCCTGCAGCCAGCTGCCAGAGCCAGCCTGGCACCGCTCACACTCCAGGCACTTGGTGGCTGCAGCACGGCTTTTTTTCCCCTTCTCTGCTTAGCTCAAGGAGGGGCAGATGAATAATTCCAAGATTTCTTCAGCTTGACAAYTTTCTGCATGGTTTATGGGGAGGCAAATCTCAGTGGAGGCTGTTTTGCTGCTTGTAGCATAACCTTGTGCAGCAGAGCAGCACTTGGGCAAGGAGAGTTTGGGTTCTGCCCACGGGCAGGGCAAGGGGAACACCCAGACAAGACTTTAAAGCTCGTTTTGTGTCTTGGAAAATAAACAGAACAATAAAACAGGGAAAGGACAGGCTCCCAACCCTCTTTGGTGCTTTTCCATCTCAGCATCACCAGCCCCAGCGCCTCCCCTGCTCCTCATCAGCTCCACTCTGAGCTGAACAAAACACTGCACAAGAGAAAATCCTGCACAGGAGAAAAACCTGCACCAAACACCTGCACAAGAGAAAGACCTGCACCAGAGAAAAATCTGCACAAGAGGAAATCCTGCACAGGACAAAAACCTGCACAGGACAAAAACCTGCACAAGAGGAAAATCTGCACCAGAGAAAAGCCTGCACAGGACAGAAACCTTCACAGGACAAAAACCTGCATGGGCGGAAAACCTGCACAAGAGAAAATCCTGCACCAGAGAAAATCCTGCACAAGAGAAAATCCTGCACCAGAGAAAATCCTGCACAGGACAGAAACCTGCGCAAGAGGAAAACCTGCACAGGAGGAAAACCTGCACCAGAGAAAATCCTGCACAAGAGAAAAAACCTGCACCAGACAAACACCTGCACAGGAGGAAAAGCTGCACAGGAGAAAAAGCTGCACAGGAGAAAATCCTGCACAAGAGAAAATCCTGCACCAGACAAAAATCTGCACAGGAGGAAAACCTGCACAGGAGAAAAATCTGCACAAGAGGAAAAACCTGCACAAGAGGAAAAACCTGCACCAGACAAACACCTGCACAAGAGAAAAACCTGCACCAGAGAAAATCCTGCACAAGAGAAAATCCTGCACAAAAGGAAAACCTGCACAGGACAAAAACCTGCACCAGAGAAAAATCTGCACAAGAGAAAAATCTGCACAAGAAAAAAACCTGCACAGGAGAAAAACCTGCACAAGAGAAAAACCTGCACAGGAGAAAAACCTGCACAGGAGAAAAATCCTGCACAGGATGAAAACCTGCACAAGAGAAAATCCTGCACCAGAGAAAAACCTGCACAAGAGGAAATCCTGCACAGGACAAAAACCTGCACAGGAGGAAAACCTGCACAAGAAGAAAATCTGCACAGGAGAGAAACTTGCACAAGAGAAAATCCTGCACAGGACAAACACCTGCACAAGAGGAAAACCTGCACCAGAGAAAATCCTGCACAGGAGAAAAGCCTGCACAAGAGAAAAACCTGCACAGGAGAAAAACCTGCACAGGAGAAAAATCCTGCACAGGATGAAAACCTGCACAAGAGAAAATCCTGCACCAGAGAAAATCCTGCACCAGAGAAAATCCCGCACAAGAGAAAAATCTGCACAGGAGAAAAACCTGCACAGGACAAAAACCTGCACAAGAGAAAAACTTGCACAGGACAAAAACCTGCACAAGAGAAAAATCTGCACCAGAGAAAAACCTGCACAAGAGAAAAACCCGCACAAGAGAAAAATCTGCACAGGAGGAAAACCTGCACAGGACAAACACCTACACCAGACAAAGACCTGCCCAGCAAAGGACTGGGCAGAAAGCCTAAGGGAGAAATATCAAAATTTTGGCAATGTCCCTGGATGGATGGACCCTCAGATCCTCCTCCAGTCAGCCCCACCCAGCCCTGCTACAGCAGCAGCCTCCCCTCCATGAAAAGGAGATTGATGCCTCCTTCCCACGGGATCTGAGCCAGTTTAGTTAAACCAGAAACTAATTTAATTTGGGAGGAAACTTGCACAACTCACTTGGGTTCTGATTCAGCTGGCAGGTTTTGGGTGCTGAGCAGCCCTGCCACGAGCATCAGCGCAACAGGAGACTTCAATCCCAAATCGTCACACCCTCTTGAAGTGTGGATACACACCCAGGGCAAAGGAGGCTTTTTTTGGGATTTAATTAACTGAGAAACCCAAACCTTCCCCCATTCCCACCTGATGAGAGTGTCACTCCTCATAGCAGCGTTAACAGAGCGAGTGCAGCTTCACTTGTAAAAATGCTCCTGGGACACATTTCGCATCCCTCAGTGGGCTGAACAGAAATATCAGAAGCATCAGCTCCAGACTAATTAGCTCCCTGCTTTAATTAGCACTCCGGCAGCAGTCCATAGCGGTCACCTCGGCGCGGGTGGCACTGCTGGCAGACAGTGGTGGCACACCTGGGCACGTGCCAGGGGTTTCCCAGGAAATACCGGGGTGTTTGATTGTTTTATCCCTGTTTCTTAGGGCTGGGTGGGTTTTTGGGCAGTGCAGGGATGGAGCAGGGATGAAGCAGGGATGGTGTAGGGATGGAGCAGGGATGGAGCAGGGTTGGAGCAGGGATGGAGCGGGGATGGAGCAGGGATGGTGTAGGGATGGAGAAGGGTGGGACCAGGGATGGAGCAGGGTGGGAGCAGGGTGGGAGCAGGGTGGGAGCAGGGCTGGACTCACCTCGGTGATGCGGGGATGGAGTAGGGTCGGAGCAGAGCTGGAGCAGGGTGGGAGCAGGGATGGAGCAGGGTGAGGAGCTGAGCTCACCTAGGTGATGCGCAGGTTGGAGCAGGGATGGGGCAGGGATGGAGCAGGGGATGGAGCCGGGATGGAACAGGGATGGTGTAGGGATGGAGCAGGGTGGGAGCAGGGATGGAGCAGGGATGGAGCAGGGATGGAGCAGGGATGGAGCAGGGATGGTGTAGGGATGGAGCAGGGTGGGAGCAGGGATGGAGCAGGGATGGAGCAGGGATGGAGCAGGGATGGTGTAGGGATGGAGCAGGGATGGGAGCAGGGTTGGGGAGCAGGGATGGGAGCAGTGATGGGCTCACCTCGGTGATGCAGGGATGGAGTAGGGTTGGAGCAGGGATGGAGCAGAGACGGAGCAGGGTTAGAGCAAGGTTGGGGAGCAGGGTTGGAGCAGGATGGGAGCAGGATGAGGAGCTGGGCTCACCTCGGTGATGCACAGGCTTGCGCAGGGATGGAGCAGGGTGGGAGCAGGGTCGGAACAGGGCTCACCTCAGTGATGCGCGGGTTGGAGTGGGGATGGAGCAGGGATGGTGTAGGGATGGAGCAGGGTTGGAGCAGGATGGGGAGCTCGGGCTCACCTCAGTGATGCGCGGGTTGGAGCACTTGACGTTGTGGCTGGACCAGTCGAGCCAGGGCCGGGAGCYGCAGTGGGGCCGCAGGGTGCACCGCCCCTCCCCGCTGCACCARCCACACTCGAATTTGGGGTCGGCCTTGAGGCACAGCCCGCAGCTCTCGCGCTGCGCCGCGCACTTGTACAGATGCACTGCGGGGACAGGGGACATGGGGACATGGGCTCAGCACGGGGGGACTCCCACAGGACATTCCCAGGGTATCCCAATCCCAGATCTGCCCTCCCGGCTGCTCCAGCCACACCTGACCCTGCAGGGATGGATCCCAAAGCCTGGGTGGGATCAGTGGGGCTCAGCACGGGGGGACTCCCACAGGACATTCCCAGGATATCCCATTCCCAGATCTGCCCTCCCAGCTGCTCCAGCTGCACCTGACCCTGCAGGGATGGATCCCAAAGCCTGGGGGACCCACAGCACAGACAGCAGCACATTCCAATAATTTCGTGGAGCTGCATTATTGTTGTGCTTTGCCTGAGCTATGATGTCCTGTTGCCATTGTGAATGACACCTGTGCGTTCCCACCATTCCCACTGCTTCCAAAAGTTGTTTAAAAATTAAATCAGGATAACCCAGGATTGTCCAGTGAGGTTTCTCAGCTGTGGGAAGGGCCTTGGAAAGCTTCAGCTGGGGCCCTTGGGAAACTGAGCTCCTCCAACCCACTCTGCTGTCGGGGCTTTAGCTCCTTCCCATAAAGGGAAGGGCAGGGCAGRGAGCTGCTCCATCCTCAGGATGATCCACAGGGATCACAGCCTCTGCCCCAGCCCCCACCTGTGACCCAAGGGCAATTTAAACAGATTTACCTTTCAGATTCTCCGGGTTGTCAATGACGAAGTTGCCGTTCCAAACCACAGCRAAGTCCACGGCCAGGTTGCTGATGTCCATCCCATCATAGAGGTACTGCAGGGTAAGATTCAGAAATGTTGGAGAGACTGACAAACAGGGAAGGGTTTTTGAAAGAAACCATCATTATTCTCTGCTTGGAAACAAGAGCTGGTGCCTGTGGGACCACATTTGTACAATATCCAGGGCTCTGCTTTGAGTCCCTTCTTCTCAACAGGAAGAGGTAATTAAATGAGACCTAGTCCTTGTCAGAGGTAATGGATTAATGATTCCACTCGCAGTGGTTGCTCCTGTCACTCGGTCTCTGGCTACCAAAACAGCCCCTCCAGTGACCCAGGCTGGGACTGCTGGCGTCAGGCTGTTTCTTGCCCAGTTTGTGCA